ATTTCTTTGTAGTTTTTGAGCCTGTCGTGAAATATTCCTTTGAGTGGGCAACTTGCTTATCCATAGCAACACAATATTGCATTTTAATAATCATGAAATAAAGTTCCATTCCTTCATTCAAAATGTGCATATTTTTTGAGATGTTCGTTCAATATCATTGCTCAAACTAGCACAATTTATCACTTTTTATTTGAATGGCTTTAGTTTATGCCTAAGGAAAAAACAAATAAATCTATGGTTTGTATTCAATTTGCATATAAATAACATTCCATTTAAAAACCTATCATTTATCATCTTAATCTTAATTCTCAAAACATAATTTATTATTGATGCATAGCAACCTCTCTATTAGTAACATTAGCAAAGTTGTTGATGAAAATAAATAGGAAATTCTTCATCTTTTTTTCCAGGAGTAGCTATTTAAGCTATAAATATAATTCCATGTATTAAATGCTTGTGTACAAATAGTTTAACATAATTTCCTTTGGACAGCTGTGCTCATAAACAAATGGGAATTAAGCTTTTTTGAAGTGCTTTTAAGAATATTTGAGTTGAAAAGAATTTCTGTACTGCAGTTTTCACCAAGCCTTTCTACCTTTGATTTCAGATTTTTGTTCATTTTTAGCTTTGTTTGTCAGCAGCATAAATTCTCCAGTTATTTAAATTCTCCAATCTGTGAGAGCTGCAGTAAAATGATAGGAAGTTGATCTTCCAAGGGCTTTGATAATCAAAATACTTAAATACAAATACAAAATTACCATGATCCTAAGCCATGTCTTGAGGAAAATGGTGCTGGTTCAGCGATGACAGTATGGTTATTTTTTTTTTAATATAGGAAAGGACATTTCCCCATAATTCTTTATACAGGCAGTCCTCGACTTACAAACCACAACTGAGCCCAAAATTTATGTTGCTAAGTGAGACAGTTGTTAAGTGAATGTTGCCCCATTTTATGAACTTTCTCGCCACAGTTGTTAAGTGGAACACTGCAGTAAATTGTTAAGTTACTGACATGATAAATGATTCTGGTGTCCCCATTGACTTTGATTGCCAGAAGGTTGCAAAATCTGATCACATGACCCTTGATTTGAAACCATCATAAATATGAGTCAGTGGCCAAGCATCTGAATTTTTATTATGACCATGAGGACGCTGCAATGGTTGTAAATGTGGAAATCAGTCATAAATCGCTTTTTTCAATGCCGTTGTAACTTTGAATGGTCACTAAATGAATTAGGTCAACTACCTGTAGTTTTCTTCAGATTTCTTATATATTTTGAAAAAGGTTTTGTTATGGCATGCTTTTAGTGTGATTGTGCTTCAGTTCCAAATATTGATTGAGTGATTGAGTAATTGATTGATACCCCAACTTTATTATTTTTACAAATAACAACATGGCAAACATATCCAATACACCTTCCTCCTCCTATTTTCCTCATAACAACCATGTGAAATGGTTTGGGATTAAAGTTATTGGCCCAAATTCACTGAGCTGGTTTGATTATTAAATTTCTACTCGCCCACAGTAAAATAAAAAATAAAAATCTTCTTGACAGGACAAATTGTGCATAGCTTAATACAAATCATGAAGTTCTGCTTTTAAGATAAAAACCATTATGGTTGTCTGATCAAAGGCAACAAGGAAAAAGGCTTGGAAGATGGTTCCACTTTTTAGAACAGGAAAAGCAATGGAGGCTTCTCCTACCATTCCTCATTGTAGACAGACCTCTAAGCAAGAGGGTAATGAGGTCACGTACAACTGATATACCTTCATCCTCCTTCTAGAACCAAAAGTTTTACAATATTTCATAATAGTTGAACAAGACTAGAAGCATCACTGCATTCCATAATAGAGTGAGATTTATTGCCGGTATATAATATATTGAGTTTCCATCAGTCTTTCTTCTTTTTGTTCTCCATCCTGTCTTGATCTTTCCTAATGCAGCCCCCTCCTCCTTTTCTTCTTTTATTGCTCTTTTGATGAAGGAGAAAGAGACAAGGCTGCAAGCTTGTGTCTGGAAAAAAATGCTTTATGCATATTCATGAAGGTGGTGGTAGGGCCAGTTTTTATGGCTGCAATACTTTATTTTACATATAATTAATTTTAATCATCAGTATGTTAATTCTATTAATAATTATTTGATTTTTGCCCTGATCCTTTTTTTTTTCTTTTTGGATTGTGGATTGTAGCAGTGTATATGCACATAGATAGATACACAATTATTTGAGTGGGAAGTGCATCTTCCAACATTTGACTCAACTGGAATTGGCAAACATAGATTAGCAACGTAGAGAAATTGTGTAAGTGTGTATGTACATATCATTTTAAAAACAGACTTTAATTCTTTTTACATGAATACAGTAATTACAATATTGGTATATTGTATGCACTGAATTTTTATTCCTCCTTGTCACAAAAAAAACCCTACTGTTAGCTATCTTACTTCAACGACTATCATAAAATTGGATTATTTCCATGATGGCGAACCTATGGCACGCGTGCCAGAGGTGGCACACAAAGCCCTCTCTATGGGCACACGAGCTGCCACCCCAGCTCAGCTGTGCCACACATGCACGTGTGCCTCCCGCTGGCCAGCTGATCTATGGGTCTCTGCTGTGCATGGGTGGGGGGGCTGGACACGTGTGGGACATGTGTGCATGTACGGAGGCACATGCATGGGGCCACAAGTGCATGTGCAGGGGTGGGGAGCATGCACGGGGAACATGCACTTATTGCATTTTGGGGGTGCATGCACATGTGCGTGCTTTGGGCACTCGGTGCTGAAAAGGTTAGCCATCACTGGATTATTTCAATTCTCTCTGTGTGAAACTGAATTTGAAAACAATTTAAAAACTCCAGTTTGTCAGAATATAGCTAGCAGACTCCTGAAAGTTGGTGTTCAAACTGAATCACACCAATTTTGGAAGAATTTAATTGGCTGGCAGTTCACTTTGTTTGAACTGATGTTGTTTTTCATTAGTGCTCTCCAGATGTTTTAAATATCAACTTCCATCAGATCCAACAAGCACAGTCATTGCCAAGGAATGTGAAAAGTTGTAAATCAAAATATATACTTCCAATATTTCCTGATATATTTGATCAAATGTTTCTTAAAATGAAGAATAAACTTAAGAGTACGGACTTTAAATTTAAAAATAGAATCAAAATATGAAGAAGCAAATGGTTGGCTTTTAAATTACATATCTCATTAGCAATCAGTAGTAAAGAAAAATATTTTGGAATACCCCGCAGTAATAAATACATAATATATTTTTAAATATTAAATTATATTGTTCCTTTCTCTTCTGCATTAAACATTTTTTGAGAAGCTGGACTAGCTTCTATATCAAGTCTGATTTGTTACTCTTCATTGTACTGGAAATAATCATCAAAAATAATGTTATCTTAGCATATGTTTTTCCTTAGAAGCTCTTATATTGATGGTGCAAAAATACTTTATTTTCCAGATATTATATTGTGCCATTTTGCCTGCCACCCCAGTGAATTAATTTTTTTTCCTAATGAGATTATATTGCCTTAACTCATTTAGCTTTTGAATATTAAAAATGCTGTAACAGATAACAGATAATCAGAGTTGGAAGGGACCTTGTAGGTCATCTAGTCCAACCCCCCGCCCAAGCAGGAGACCCTACACGATTTCTGACAAATGGCAGTCTAATCTCTTCTTGAAAGTCTCAAGTGATGGTGCTTCCATAACTTCTGAGGGCAAGCTGTTCCATTGGTTGATTGTTCTCACTGTCAGAAAGTTTCTCCTTGTTTCCAGGTTAAATCTCTCCTTGTTCAGTTTCCATCCATTATTCCTTGTCTGGCCTACAGGAGCTTTAGAAATTAGCTTGACCCCTTCCTCCCTGTGGCAGCCCCTCAAATATTGGAAGACCGCTATCATGTTTCCCCTGGTCCTTCTTTTTACTAGACTAGCCAAGCCCAGTTCCTGCAACCGTTCGTTGTATGTTTTAGCCTCCAGTCCCCTAATCACCCTGGTTGCTCTTCTCTGTACTTTTTCTAGAGTCTCAACATCTTTTTTATAATGTGGTGACCAAAACTGGATGCAGTACTCTAGATGTGGTCTTACTAAGGCTTTATAGAGTGGTATTAGTACTTCCCTTGAACTTGACTGTATCCCTCTATTAATACAATTTAGGATTGCATTAGCTTTTTTGGCTGCAGCTGCACACTGCTGGCTCATATTTAGCTGGTTGTCCACTAAGACTCCAAGATCCCTCTCACAGTTACTGCTATTGAGCCTGGTTTCACCCAGTCTATATGGGTACTTTTGTTTTTTCTTGCCTAAGTGTAGGACTTTACTTTTCTCTATATTGAATTTCATTTTATTAGATATGGCCCAGTGTTCTAGTCTGTCAAGATCCATCTGGATCTTGAGCCTATCTTCTTGGGTGTTAGCTATTCCTGCCAGCTTAGTATCATCTGCAAATTTGGTAAGTTCCCCTTCTATTCCCTCATCTAAGTCGTTAATGAAGATATTGAAGAGTACTGGGCCTAAGATGGAACCTTGTGGCACCCCACTGCTTACTTCCCTCCAAGTAGACTGAGACCCATTAAGGACTACTCGTTGAGTACGGTTTGCCAGCCAGTTGCAAGTCCATCTAGTGGTGGTGCTATCTATTCCACTTTTTTCTAGCTTACTAAGAAGTAGGTTGTGGTCTACTTTGTCGAATGCCTTGCTGAAATCTAAATATATTATGTCCACAGTATTTTGCTGGTCTACTAATTTAGTCACTGTGTTGAAGAATGAAATAAGATTGGTTTGGCATGATCTGTTTTTAACAAACCCATGCTGAGTGCTTATTATTACTTTACTTGTTTCTAGATGTTGGCAGATCTGTTTTTTTATTATTTTTTCCAGTATCTTCCCAGGTATTGATGTTAGGCTGATTGGTCTATAGTTTCCTGGGTCTGTTTTTTTTTTCCTTTTGTTTTTATTATGATGGCTTAAAGACCATATCTTCTCTCAATACAGGGACCTTGCTGCAAGAAACTGTCTGGTAGGTGAAAATAATGTTCTGAAAATTAGTGACTTTGGAATGTCTCGTCAAGAAGACGATGGAGTATATTCATCTTCAGGATTAAAGCAAATTCCAATTAAATGGACTGCCCCAGAGGCCTTGAACTATGGTAAGGAAATATTGCTGGTGGCCAGGCGAGGCGCATGGGGTGAGTGGGACAAGTTCCCCCCTCCGCCCTATCTGCTGCTATCAGTAGTTTCCCCAGCATACATTGTTTGAATATGACAGTAGGAGTAAAAACATTTAAAGATACTTAAATGCCCTTGGAATCAACACTTTTAATAATTTGGAGCCCAATGAAATACCAAGCTTTGAGCCCCTGTTTTTTACAACAATTACCTTCATTCAGCTACACAAAATATAATAACTAAACCAAAAAGTCCATTATTTTCATGTTCTAGAAATAATACTGTAGGGTCTATATTTTCTTAGCCAAAAGTCTCTCTCTCTCTCTCTCCCCCTAAGAACGGAGCTGGAGACGGTATCCTGTGATCCCAAATAAAGAATGATCGATTGGTAGGAAAACGGGGAGGGGAATTTTCCTGCAGACTTTTTTGGGGGGGATTTTCTCAGGATCTCTGGTCCGCAGGATTTGAAATTATGAGTTTGGTGGTCCCTGAGGTCCAAAAGGTTGGCGACCCTTGCCGTAGAAGGTATGATGATAAGTTATCCAGATGTGAAACAGGATCTCACCAGGTAATAATAGATCTCTCAAAATCTTACCAATTTTTAATTGACAAAAACGAATAAGCAAATTTGGTTAAGTTTCCTAATCTTGGAAATTAGAGTTCCAGCTGTTAATCAAATATCACATACTTGTCAATTTGGTTAAATGTTGCCCTATAGGGGGGGGAACCATATACCCACTTGAATCTCAAGTTTATATGTTTCTTTAATATTTAAAATAACTATAGCAAATATATAAACTACCCCAGGGATTTGTGAGATTTATTACTCTAGTATTGCGTCAGAAAAAATGATTGTGGATTATGTTCTACTGAAAATGTCTTTCTTGCATACTCTAGCCAAGCATTTCTTGGTCAAATCTTATTAAATATCAATAGTAAGATATGTCAAACCTGTCTTTATATCAAATTTGATTTTTTTTTTTACATTATTCATCATGAAGGAATTTACTCTCCAAGATAAGAAGCAATAAGTACATCCTTCTTTCATAGAAGAAATTTGTTGACTCACTGTAATAAAGAAGACCAGCACTGTCAGAACAGCCTAGAATCATATTATTTACTTGCATTATTTTGAAAATGGTTCAGGTTCTGAGTCTTGGGAATTTTGTATACCCTATGTGCTTTTTGTCAGCTGAAAGTATTCATAAGATGATTAGGATAGATGGCCTGCTGGGACAGTTAACCAAGATTATTAAATTTTCTGCATGGAAGTTTAAATAGTTTTCAGAAATAACAAAGCAGAAATGGATGAAAGTAATTATCATGAGAAAGGTTCAATAATTTATAACTGTTTTTGAAAATGACCTCTGAGTTTGCAGATTTTTTTTAGAATTTCCAATTGCTAAATATTTAACTTACAATTTAAATCTATAATAAACCAGTATAAATGAAATACACATAAGTGACACTGATGGTTGAAGTTATATTCATTGTTCCAACTTTCAAAGTTCTATTTGCATTTAAACATCTCATGCTGTTTTAAATTAGGCTACCTGATAAGTGGAGAGCAATTATGAGCATTCACTGTGCTGCTAGAAATGCGATTACATGTCTAAGTCTACATCTTTTTTCCTTTGGGATTTAACATTTAATAGCATAGTATGTTTTATTTAAAATATTTAGGAATGTTAATTAGAAACAATTGTTTTGTTAAGAAAAAGTAAATTATATGGAATTAATTACCTTTCTCAGTAAGTATATGACAACCTTCCCCAACCTGCATTTAAATTTCCAAAAATCTCAGACACAGCAACCTTGAGGAAAACCCAATGGAAAGCTACTACACGGGAACCTTCAAAGGAAGCTGGTGCTAAAACTTTAGTGCTATGCATTAAAGCCATAGAAAATTGAGAAAGCTATGCTGAAAAATGATAGCATAACTATTTGCCAAGAGCTTTTATGCAACTATGAAAAATTGCTGTTGGACTGGAGACGCTGTTTTATTCCAAATGTCATAAAATAACTTTCCAAGTATTGTGAATAAGGTTTCAGTAATGCAGATATGAAATAAAATATGCATTTAAATGCCAAATTCTATATATAATATTTTCCAAATGCTTCTTTCAATTCTTATCCAGGGTACTGCTTCTTAAAAATACAAAATAAAAAAGGTGTGGCAAACAGTTTTGACATGCAAAAAGATATATTTTTAAATAATTCCTATGTTAGATTTTATGATAAATTGGGGGGTGTTTCTTGGATTTGCATATCCCAATCACTTTATCTCCCCTTTCTCTTGGGAGTGGGAATAAAAGTTTTAGCACTCCAACTGGGTAACTGACTCAAGTATCTCCATTCCATTCTCAAAATTCTTTTAACTCAGAAGTCACAGGTTGAACACCATCACACCAGTAACTCAGTCACAGGTTGGACACCATCACACTAAATGGTTTAATGGCTGCTATTTTATGAGATACAACCAATCAATGCTGTGAAGGTGTATTCTGTGGCCATAAAACTCCTAACCAGTAGCTGTGTGGCTTTTGTGTCAAACCCAGGCATCCAGACTACTGGTGAGTGTTGGGAGCTGTCATTGTTACCATCATTCCTAATACAGATCCCCTGAAAGATCATGTGCCATTGGCAACTCTTCTCCTCTCTTACTTACTATGAGACTGTCTGGGATACTATCTCTTGGCTGCCACAGCCAGGGTGGAGGGCTCATCCTCTAAGCTCTCACTCCCTTGGACTAAATTAAGGGGCCAGGACTAGGGAGTTGGGGCCCCCAAAGGAGAGGCCCTCACTCTCACAACAATCTGCGACCACTTTCAATCTCTTATGCCAGCTCTGCTTTTTCTGCTCCTGGTTGAATCACCAACTACACATATTCCTGCCTCATTTTCTTGCAATCTGAATCCATGAGGTCAGGCAAGTAATGAAAAATGGGCAGCATTTTGGTGGGGCTACAGACACTAAGAACAGTGGACTAAAAGAACTGTTTTGACAATTGTGGCCAAGGGACAAGAAGGAGGTATTCCAGGGCCCGATGATTACTTCCCAGACAAGCCATTATCCCATTGCCTAAGCTAATGCCCCTCCCCATTGCTTGGTGGTGGACCCAATTATTTGTGGACCCAGCATCAGCAGCAGGTCAGATATTTTTCTCCTTCCATCTCATTTCCTGCCTGCCATACCTGGAAAGCAGGAGGAGAATGTTTAGAGAAGTAGATCCTACTTGAGAGGTATGTGAGCAGGTATGTTATCAGAGGAGATTTGGTTGACATGTATGTGGATTTTCCAAAAGCTTTTGCCAAACTATCTCATCAAAGACTACTGAATAAATTTAATAGCTTTCCAGAATAGGGGTCGCCAACCTTTTGGACCTCAGGGACCACCAAACTCATAATTTCAAACCCTGCGGACCAGAGATCCTGAGAAAATCCCCCCAAAAGGTCTGCAGGAAAATTCCCCACTCCATTTTCCTACCGATCGATCATTCTTTATTTGGGATCACAGGATACCGTCTCCAGCTCCGTTCTCAGGGGGAGAGAGAGAGAGACTTTTGGCTTCATGCAAGTAAAGCAGCAGAAGCAGCAGAAGTCTTTCTTTCTCTCCCCCAAACTCCACCAGAAATAAGTCTTTGCCAGCGCAGCCTCTTGGAGCATGATGCCTTGCAGGGTCCCAAAGACTCATTTCTGGCAGAGTTTGGGGGAGAGAAAGAAAGACTTTTGCTGCTTTCCTTGCATGCAGCCAAAAGCAGCAGAAGAAAGAAGCTGAAAGAAGCAGCCTGGTGGCCAGACCAGGCACGTGGGGTGAGTGGGGCAAGTTCCCCCCTCCGCCCTTTCCCCCCTCCCCTCACTATCTCATGTTGTTCGCAATGCAAACGATGCAAGCCTTGTGTTCCCATGGGCCATGTGGGCGGCACAGCCCTGTATTCCTGTGCAGCCTGGATTAATTGCTTTGGGGGATGCTTTGGGGGTGACATTTCTCTGTGGACCACCAAAATTTTATTACGAATCACCAGTGGTCTCCGGCCCACTGTTGGCGACCACTGTTCTACAGTGTCCCTCTTTATCGTAATCTGCTTGCTGATTTCTAGTTCCAGTTATAAGAAGTCATATATTGAAAGCAGGATTTATGTAGTGAAAAGCCTGATCTTGCTCTGTCGCAGTAATTCTGGTCAACATTGCTTATTCTTGACAGTCCCAAACTAATACACCATAAACAATGTTGCTGGGAGAAAAAAGGTAACAACAAATCTGCTTCTTCTGAACAACCGACGTAGTATGATACTAGATGTTTGATCATGTTTGTCAATTAACCAATGAGGAAACTGAAGAGGGCTGAAAATGGAGATTAGAAGTGGAAAACAGCAGATTGCTAAATAGCTTGACATTCATAATAAGAGCAGCTATTGAATAGTATACCTCTGTTTTAAGATACAAGACTTCATTTTATTTAATTATTGGGTGTACCAGCTACTTAAATATAATATCTTCTATAACCACAGAGATAAAGGTATAAAGATTGGCATAAATAATTTTTCCTTTCCAAAGGAACTTTTAAACTTCACTTTTCTGTCTATGGCTCCCTGCTGCTTTGACTTAGTATCACAAAATATTGTTTTAAATTGTTTTTAATGTCAATTTTTTAATATTTTGCAATGGATTTTTTAAACTATAAATATGTTTTGTTTTAGTATATGATATAGGAAATGGCATGGATTAAGGCTACAGTTAGGATTATGAATCATGGAATTGAAGAGTCAGAAGGGACCACCAAAGTCATCTAGCACAAGCCTATACAACTTATAAAGGGCTACATTGATAGGTTCAAAATCATATTGAGCTTATAATTATTATTAACCAAAAAACATGAACCTCTAGTTAAAACCTCTGGATATGAAGAACCCACATCTTTCTGCAGAATTCTGAAGGTCCGCAGTCCCAGCCTGGTCAGCCTTTTGTTTCTTGCCTATTTTTCTGTGTGGATTGTCATTGTCCATCTTTTTGTTGTCACTTTATCCAATAGGACGGTACACTTCTGAGAGTGATATATGGAGTTATGGAATTTTCCTCTGGGAGACCTTCAGCTTAGGCGTATGCCCGTATCCAGGCATGACTAATCAGCAAGCACGGGAACAAGTGGAGAAAGGTAATGTGCATGTGTGGTTTGTAATGAATACCTATTAAATAATTCCACCTGATTATTTGTATGGCTTTTATAAATTAGGCTGAAATTCTAACACTGAACAGGAGATAATTCAGCATAGCTGAAATGATATAACAGGTATTCATGCTAGATAATACATTTTGCTATTTGATTATTTAGATAACCAGCATCTTACAATAAAGTCATTGTACAAGGCTAATCTTTAGTTATCTGTAAGTTTTTAGCAGAACTACATGTACATTATTTGATGAAGTGGACTTTGGCTCTTAGAATGACGTGCACATTAAGGCTGTGCAGAGGTTTGAAAACAGTTATGCAGGCCAAAAGATGCTTCTAGATGTGCTTACATAGCATTGTTTTTTACCCCTAGAAACCACAGCATTATTTTCCCATAAGGATTGGGCAATAGCCTTCTGTAGCTGTAACTTAACCCCAGGTAAAGTTGGTTTAAGGAGTTGTGGGCAACTGATTTGCACAACCATGTATGCTCCAGATCACTGTTTTGCCTTCAGATCTGAAACACTGCACCTGACTCACATTTCTCCCATCTGCCATTTCTTACATGTTGTGCGAATGCACATGCATATGTGCGCATGCGCACACACACACATTTGTATTCCTAAATATTATTAAATAAGAGCAACAGAAGAAACCACTCTAGATGAAAAATCAAGCTGGGTGACCTTGGGCCACTCACATTCTCTCAGCCTTAGGAAGCAACAAATCCCAAACATCCAAACCAGGCTCATCTGTCATCTGGCCTCAAAACCAGGGGAATATCCCAGTCTTTGTTGCTTTGTGGAAAGCAGTCAAGTTGTGACCATAAAATCTTGAGTGAGGAGGCGCTGCAACAGAGAAGATCCTGTTCAATTTTTTTTTTTTAATGTGAAGGTATAAAGATTGGCATAAAGATTTTTTTCCTTTCCAAAGGAACTTTTAAACTTCACTTTTCTGTCTATGGCTCCCTGCTGCTTTGACTTAGTATTGCAAAGTATTGTTTTAAACTGTTTTCCTGTCATTTTTTTTTGTTTGCAATGTATGTATGTACATATGTATGTATAAGTCATATAAGTCATATAGTCGTATGTATGTATAAGTCGGTTCTAAGTAGGTTTGGTCATTTAATTTTAAATTGTACTTTCTCTTCAATTACATTTCTAATAATCTATTTTTAAAAATACATACTAGGCTATCGAATGTCAGCACCCCAGAAGTGTCCAGAGGATATCTATAAAATAATGCAACGGTGTTGGGATTACAATCCTGAAATGAGACCAAAATTCAGCGAGATCCACAAAGAGCTGTCTGCACTGAAAAAGAAGGTGACATCATGAGAAACTAGCAGGACTCAAAAAACAGGACTTCCTTTTTTTGTACAAAAATATTATTTTTTCTGTCACAAATCCGACACATTTATATCACATTTCTTCTGATGTTCTTCTTGGATTCCTTTTTTAAATAAAAAGAAACTACTCTATTCAAATGTGCCCAACCTGAAGAATGTCAAATTGTCTATGTTAAAAACAGAGTGTTCTACTAAGTGCTTTATATGCTGTCATTTAGGTTTTGTGTAAATAGATAAACATGTAATATATGTGTAGAGTTAGGAAATTCTGGCTCATTTAGATATTTCTGTGATAAATCCCGAAGAATATTTTGGAATCTTTGTTTCTCTTTTTCAATCCATCCACTTGTAACAGTCTTAGTGTAAGTCCACTGGTTCATGAACCATTCCCATGAATTTTAAAGCTAAAGGCATAGTTTTCAATATATCTTTTAAGGAAAGGAACACACAATGCAAAATCACCAGCTGATGCAATATTGAATATGTATTTATTCAAGAGCATTATATAAGGATTTGCTTGTAGAATGCAGAATGTGGACACATGGTTTTTAAAGGCATTTCAATTTAGTAATGTTTTCTAATATTGAATATTATTTATTTGCATCTTTAAAAAAGAAAAAAAGAGGCACAATTTGCCAGAAACTGGCAAGCACAAATCAATTAATAGTGTATTTTTTTTATTTTCAGGATATATATATATATATATATATATATATATATATATGAGGGTTACATACAGCACTACTGGAAAGTGCTCTTTCAGAAGAATGGAATTTAAAAATAGATATTTTTAAATGTGCACATTCAGTAGTGCAGTCTATAACATATTTGCAAATGAAAGTAGCGTATGATTGAGGTAACCAGTAGCATTGATTTTATATCAGAAAAGCAAAGTGAATTACCTGATTGGAAACTTTGTGAATTGATGTTTCCTTTCTGTATGCCCCGGGAGGAAGTAATACGCACACATTCATACTGTATCTACTATCAGTTTCTCAGTTGTGTTTTTAAAAAAGGCCCTGAGAAGAAAACTGTAGTAAAAAATTACTCTTTGAAAAAAGTTGTTTTCCCTCTAAAACTACAAACTTGAAACAGAATACAATTCCATTTTTCTAGTTAAGCTCAGCATATCCAGCCTTTATTAAATTGATATTTGGATGTTCTGAGAATTATAAATCAATAACCAGCAAAATTAATGACTGGATTCTCCCTGAGACTCTCAAGGAGAATGACTTTTTTTCCAGTTATTGGTTTCATCCTGATTTCCTGAATCCACAGCTGGTCAGTTCTGTTGCAAAGGGTTTCCGGTTATACCTCAGATGCAGCCAAATGTTAGTCATGTTGTATCAGCAAATCAGGCACTTCCAGATGAAGTAATGTGATGTTTTGCTGCTTGAAATCAGAAGAACCAAGATGTTGGTGACGTTTGTGATTGCAAAACATCTTTGTTTTGCTCATCATTCTGGAAGAGCACTTTTGGTCTTTTGTGCATGTGTCTTGTGGTAGTACAGAGTGGTGATGTTGAGCAAGATGTATTCTACTTTTAGTCTAGAACAATTGATGTCATTTATGTGATAAAAATTAATATCAGAATAAAACAGTAAAGCTATATTGGAGGAAAATGTTCTTCATTGTAAATGAGCTTTTTGGTATCATAATTCAAAGGGCATCAGGTGAGTGTTGCCTTATATACAAAGATTGTTTTATAGTTCATAATCCAGTAAAGAGGTAAAAAGAAATGAGAAATAAATGTAACATTGCAGTTTCTAGGCATAGTAATGGGCATACATGGATCATTAAAATAATATTCAGCAAAAGTAGGAAAATTGATTATTGTGATCCTAAAGGGATCAAACAGTGTGCCTTTAATCATCGGCATTCCTTTATTAATTAAAATGCACAAGGACTGAATCCTAACACCATAAGAGGAAAAACACCACAAATTGCCCAGTTGCACATTTTCGTCTATGCATTCACTAATATGTAAATGTCAGGACAGAATGTAAAGAATGTATTTCCTTGTATTCATGATGTTTTTAATTTTTCTTTTAAGGGTTACTATTTTTATATAGGAGAGATTCCATTTCTTAAAGTCTTCTGAATGTATTCTGTCTTGCAACATGAAAAAAGACAGCACTTAGTCTTAAATTGATTAGAAGGACACCTTGTCCTCATCTTCTTGTATAAATGTAAAGAATAACTGCTATTTATATTTCATTTATGTAAGCAGTTAAAATTTGCAATTCATGTCAGACTGCTGCTCAAATTTGAAAACATTTCTGAACATAATACCAGAACATTGGGCATTTGTTTTGCCTGTCTCCAGTCCTAAAACCAGAGGTCACCTAAAATCAGAAATTAAAATGTAACTAATATGATATTTTTCACACATTCTTACAATCTACTCTCTTAGTTTATAACTTAATTTGTAAAACCAGTTTTACCTACCATATAAAACTATTTAAATTATGTTGTAAACCTATATCCATACCAAATGCATATAGTCATTTCCTTTCTTAATGGAGTAAGCGAAAGTTTTCTGCATAACTGGAAAATCTGCTTTCCAGGATTAATGTAGTTCTTGTAAAAACATATTTAGTATCCCTCTTTTGCTGGTAATATGTAATACTGAATAAGCATTTCTGTTGTTTCTTAACAATAAATATTAGCAAAATCTGAAAATGCAAGAAACTAATAAATTGTGATAAAATTAACATTTTACAACTAAAAGCTAAAACTTTTGAAGATATGTCACATAAAAAATAATTTGAAATTGATTTGCACTCTACACCCTGCTTCATTATAAAAAAACTATGCTTTTTAATAAATTATCCGCATAGCGTAAGACTTGTGCCAAAAGCACGTTATTCTGAAATACAAGATCAATATGTCTTATATATAAAAAACAAGGTAAGGAAGACCCTCATTCATTCAAGATTGTTTAGTAACTTTCCATTTTTGAAATATTTATGTACTATGGGGTATATTTTTATTTATGGATGAGGGTACATATTTAACAAGTGCCACACTTTTTGCTATTTTTACATGTTGACGCAGATGCTATAAGAAGGTTGAAAACAGAAATTTTATGAAGCTTGTTTGGTTAGAAATGTTCAGTTAGTTTGTTAAGTTTTGGGGAGCAAATTAACTGGTTACATCAATTGTTGAGCCTGGTTGCATATTACTGGCAGTAAATTACAAACAGAAGGTAGTAAGTAACAATTTGCAGGTCTCTATCGGTACAGTTTTTATATATTTTGCTAGCTGATTAAAAGATTTAGTACTTTTTGTTTCTTTAAAATTAACAAGAAGGGCTTTTAACCATACTATTTCTAGCTACCTGGAATTTACAGATTTTAATTAAAGGTGGAGCTTTTCCTCCTTAGTTACTTGCAGTGAGATACCTGCTTTTAGGTTTTGAGGTTGCCAGGATAGAAGGAACACATTCTGAACTGAGTCCGTGAATGTGAGGATTTTTTTCCCATCAAAAACTTCCTTCTGCTTCCAAAACTGCTTCTTATTTCCCAGTCACTGAGCAGCCTGCTCAACAGGAAATTAAGGGAGTAGGCTGTATTCTTTTTCATCCAGTGACATATTTTCAGTCAGGATTGAAAGGAGTCTTAAGAAAGAAGCACTACTAACTCTAAAATTCTATTTTAAACATTTATTAGTGTAACATTTTAAAAAATGAATAAGGAGCAGGTCTTGGTCATACAATATTTTTGTATGTCTTGAATAACGAAACAGATGCTATCGCAACACTAATCTCTCATCAGTCAGAATAGATTAAATACCATAAGATACTTTAGTCCATAGTGTAATTTCATGTTAAGATCCTTAACTGAAGAAATAGTCCTGATCCAAGAAGGCCCAAGGATTTCAGAGGAGGAAGGGATCATACTGTATATTTTTTTTAAAAAAATTAAACTTTAGTTCTATAAAGTAATCGTTACGAGCATTGTAGGTCTTATGGAATTCATAAATTTTCATTGAGTTCTAACAAATTTTGTTTCATGCAATTTAAGAAAGAACTTTTTACTTGTTCATAGCTTTTTCTCCTCTTAGTTGTTAAAACATTAGATCTTGAAACTAAGCAAAAACCGTGCTTAGAAAAGTTGAATTCCCTCTTTTATTTTTGACAACATTTTAGTATTTATCAGAAAAAGAGAATTTTTTCCTTGCAAGATGGAAGCTATAAAAAGTAGGATGATAAAATAAGGGTGATCTATATCCTTTAAACAAGTTTGTTTTGTGCAAATTACTGTGGAGCAATTGAACAGTGAAAACATGTTTATTATTCAGCCTATTGCACCACAAATTTAACAACCCTGAATTAAAGTATTGAGCATAAGCATATACATATTCCAATATTGTGGTAAGAATTAATGTGTGTTAAGAAACCATTGCTAATTTTTTAGTGGTCACAAAGTCAGAAATGAGGCAAAACGGTCTTAGAAGAAAAGATCGGCTCCAACTAAATCTAACATATCATTTGATAAAAGGTAGATTAAACATGTAAGATAATAAGACAAAAGTCACAATCTTCCCTGGAAAGCAAGTCACAGATGTACTACTTTAGAATTACTAGCTTGGCTAAACCTTTGGTGGGATTTCATTTCTGATTGTAAAAGTAGAAGGATTCATTTCATGTAAGTAGGCCCATCATTACTGTTGGTACCTAGGGAAGGGGGGAAATCTTCTAAATGCCCTTAATGGACACTAAGAATGACCGTGTTATGAGAAAAATAACTTAAAGAAAGGAGATCAATGTTAATGTTATTTATTGACACAGGAAAGAACAGACAGAGCAGACATACCAGATTATTGTTCTCAAGGTATAAAGGAATAACAGAAGACATTATTCTTTTTAAAAAATGTATTCAGAGAGCTATAGTGTGGGGAAAAAATGACTTATAGACAAACAATAGTAAGAATGATAAAAATGTGCATAGAAATCATAACCCAACCTTTAGGTTACACATATTTTTAATTTTATGTTTAAATCTGTCATGGCTTAGCCTTACAGCTTTTGAGTTCTGAATCTCAGGACACAAATTGTAAGATAATTCTGTGCCATCAAACGCCATGTCAGTCTTCTGCAAAACTCCAGAAAGATATGTGATTACCACTGTATCTTTTAACTGATTTGACAGGAGTATATAGTCAGAAGCAGAAGTTGATTTGAGATCAGAGAAGTATGTTTTCCAAATTGCATTTTCTCCATCTTTCCCCCTGCTGGCGCCCAGCCCCTCATTGCCATAGAGCAGTTAGGGACACTGGGGCTCTTAGCAAGCCGCAGTAGAAATTAAGACATTTTGTGTAAGAACACCACAAGAGTTTACAGGTTTTTTACATGCATTTTGTTGTAATCGTTTTACCACTAGTTAGTTCCAATAAAAGCACCAGCAGTTTTAATACCAGGTAAAGCACCTTTATTGTTTAAAAATAATATATTTGTGCAACACATAGAATATACATAACACTGGAATGAATTGCATTCTTCAAAATACAGGTGCTCTGATTGCCTATATATACTTACCGTAATAGTTGTCTGTTCTCTTGCAATTTTAGCGGATCTACATTTTAACTTTTATTTATTTTTTGTATTCACATTGAACCAAAATTAACCTTATTTCACTTTCCTAGCCTATTATAAAAAGGGGTATTTTGTGTATTTAGAAAATATGCAGATAATTTTCAATGGCTTCTCTCTCTTTAACTGGACCAACTACAATTAACAGATGTTCAGTACCTTTTTTACTGTATTACTTCAATAAATGTAAAATATTTGTACTGAGTGAGTCTAAACTTTTGTTTGGTATTCAGTGATTTGTTTTTATTGCTTCCTCAGTTTGATAACTAAATGAATTAATTACTAATCCCATGTGATATGCTGTTCCAGTCTTCAACCATACTTACATAACATCTATCACTTCCTGACCTATGCCAGCACTCCATTGTTGGCAGGTTCAGCTGTGCTTCAAAAGCAAGATTGCAAAATATCCTTATTTAATGGAGCACAAATACTGCTTTGTGTCTCCTGTGATTTCCCTAGTAGTAAAAGATATGGAGTAAATACAGATTTTACTCCACTAGTCGTTGACTATAGGAGGCGTTGCTTATCTCCATTTCAAGGCCAGGGCTATCCATGGAGTGAATAGCCATTTTAAACACCCCCAACTGTCTTTGACTGAAATCAGTCTGTCTTAAGAGCTGGAAAACATCACTAAGCGGGAACTGAAATGTACTGCATTATATAAAATTTCCTCAGCTGTCCATATATGCATCAGAGGTGTTTAAAAACCCAACTGGGTTAGTGAAATAATCATATGTATTTAATTCAAAAAATCAGCAAAGTGCCTGGAAAAATACATCTTCCTTAAAAACAACCATTGCAGTTTTTGATAAAATACCCCTACCAAAATCTCTAGTATGTTTATCTGTCATAACCCGGGAAGTAAATGGAAGACGTCAACAATTAATTAAAACAGGTGGAAAGGGTTTCACATTTTTTTCACAGAAAAGCTTTGTGCCAGATTATTTTCCAAAATATTTTCCAAAATAATCTGGAATCGAGATTCATTTCATAAATTTATCATCATAAACAGCTAGATTTGAAAAAACTAAAATGAAAAACTTCAAGTTGCATAAATGAACCATAAGAATATATATGTCACTCATGGCAAAACCAGAAAAATGCAGTGGTGTTTACTTTGATGAAAACCTTGGTCAAAAAATTTATAATACCAAAACTAAGGAAAAGTAAAGATAAAAGCAGTCTCCAGCTGCACAATTCAAGAATAGCTTTGGTTATGGAATTTGAATTCATTGTTAGCTTTGAGATTCCAAATATTTTATACTGTATCTAATTTACTCCAATGAGATTTAATAGGTGATCTAAATAGGAATTAGAATTATGAATATATAACATCTATATTAATATCAATAGTTAAGTGTCCTTCAGAAATATGCTAGGATACCCAACCACTGAATAAAAGTTAAGGACTGATGCTTTATTACTTCCTTGTGGTTTCACGGAAGCAACTCACTTGAAATTTATAGAAATGGGGCTTTTGGCTTGGCCAAAAATGCAGAATCTTCAGGCCTTCTGATGCTCTTAGTCTTCAGTCAGCCAACATAGTCAAATATGGTTTCATACAGGTAGCTCTTAGCTTACAATCCCCTCAAAGCTACTTACAGTCCGGTTTCAAAATTTAGTCACTGCAATGGCCCTGTGGTTGTGCACCTACAACTGACCACAGGGTGCTGCCACGCACCCCGACTTATCTTTCCACCCAGCCACTCAACCAACTAACCACTAAAACTGAGTAGCAGAAGCTACCAGCCCAGAGAGGGCATTTACGGCTTGTAGCCCTTAGCATGCTTCCCATCCAGCACACAATGGATTTGCAGAACTCAGCCCACTCCTCACCCAGCTCAGGGCCCAGTAGCACCCAACTTACTTTTCTGTTTTTGCAAAGGCATCTGACTGATACAATGCAAGACTAATCTTTTTTTTACAGAGGCTGCCTGCCTCATAGAAATCTCGTGCTATTCTAAAAGTATGTACTATTTTAACTGTCCTGTAGGAGACACTGGGTTTTTGTTGTTGTTGTCTTTCAACAAACTCCACAAACAAATGGACATGGGAGGTCATGGAAGGCCCTATTCCTGGTATATCTAGTGCTCCACTTAATGATCTGCATGTTCATTTAATGATCGCATAAGACAGGGCAGGGGGTGAGAGCCATTGAGTGAAATAGCTTTAATGGCTATAGCAACTTGTGACCATAATGGGCAGGCTCCAGTAAGGTCATATGTGGAGGACTATTTGTAGTCATATGATCCACAGCTTTTATCCTGGATCAAGGATCAAATAGCAGGTAACATAATTTAAAATTTTGCAGGTCCCACAATTTTATTTCTTTTTAAATGGAGGGGGGATGTTATCCCTGCATTTATGGCTGCAGTATCCTGTGGTCATGTGATCACAATCTGTGTGTTTTACAACTGGCTTCCAAGATGCAGAGTCAACACAGAAAATGGTAGTCATGTCATAAGTCACGGTCACATGATTTTGCATAGCAATCACTGCACTTCATTTAATGACCAAAGGGAAAATACCAGTTGATGGTGCTAACTGTAATTACTAAGATGTACTATTTGCAGGAATAACAAAGAAAATATTTATATATTGGAAACCTTTCATCTACTTTTATAGCAGATTATGAAATAAGGCTTCTATTTGGTTAGTAATATTTTGTACCAATTGATCTTATGAAATATAATGAATTTAATAAGAGCCAGCCACAGGACTTCTCATAAACCTACGTGGCAGAAAAAATATATATTGATTGCTGCAGCTGTTAAAATTTGGAACAACTAATAGAGTGCTTCCTTCCAAAAAACCTCATAGGGTTTAATTAGAAAAGGCCTCATGTACACTGGTATTCTTTTGTCAATATTTGCCCATGAAAATACATCAATGGTTTAAATATTTTTCCAAAAAATGTTCACTGAAAAATATTTACATTTTTGACATCTAGAAATAATTGATATATTGCAGTATCTTAGATCTGACTTAGTTAATAATTTATTGTTTTGAATACTAAATCTTGTTTAAAAGCTCCACTCACAATACTTGTTGTTTTATTAAGTTTTCAAACTTATATATTCTATTCCATTGCATCCTGCTGACTTTTAAATATTTGAGACTGTCTTAGCTCACTTTCAGCTTGAAGCCATACTCTTAACTCCAGCACTTGTCAGTTTTACCAATTGTGTAAAATCCCAACAGATTTTTCAGGAATAGAAACTGGTTATTTTTTAAAAGGGTTTTGAGAATAAAAATGCTGGAGAAGTTTTATGAGAAATAATGAAGGGAGCATTAGAACACAAACATTCTTTTACAATAG